GAGAAAGGAAAAATTGAAATCGCATCATATGACCCCTTTAAGAACGCAAATAATGCATTCTCTAATTAAATGTGCACTAACTTGCATAGATTTCTAGAAAATAAATCTCGGATAAAGCCAGGTTAAAAAATGTTTTCCATTTTGTTGACATATCAGAGTCAAAGGGAATTTGAATCATTTTATCCCTCCATAAATCAGAAGATAGTCTACAGCCAGAAAATGAATTTTCACTACGGTTTTATTAATAAAACGGTGTATAAAACCAGCCGCTTAGCTATTTATTTTTAATTCTATTTATTAATATTTTATTTAATATTAAATGGAAGGATATGCAATTTAAATGAATACGTTCATGTATTGTAATTCTATTTATTAATTTTATTTAATAGTTATTTATATTTGAATTCATTTGACTTTTTATTAATGTATGTTATTTAATTAATTTTGTTGAAATGTTTATTTTTATTAGAATTTATTGATTTACTACTTTTACATTTTATTTATTTATTCCCTTATATATTTCAGGCTGCTTGTAGAAATGTCTAGTTCTAACCCCAACACCACTGGAGGTCCTACGACCCCGTCTGCATCTGGGACATCAGCTGCTTCAGGTGAGAAGGAAAAAGAGGGAGGCTCATTTGCATTTAAAAAATACAAGTTCAAGTTTAATTTAGAAAAGTTTTTTATCTTTAAAATATGCATAAATGAACACAACCTCATTGTGCAAAAGAATGAAAACGTATAAAACGGCATTTTATTTGGGTCCACTATTGCTGGAATACACTAAGATTTGATGCTCTAAGTTGGGTGATCTTGGGTCCGTTTATATCTGAACGTTTTCTTTCTCAGACAAGCTTCTGATAGTTCGTTCGGTCGATCTCCTGAAATCCAAGGATGGGCAGAACCGGCTCGAGCATCACACAGATGCTTTCTTCAGCGACAAGCTGATCGTCCGCAGAGGACAGACCTTCCAGATGTGGGTCGAGTTCTCCAGACCCTTCAATCCGAAATCAGACAAACTGCAGCTGCTGCTTAAGTTAGGTGAGAGAGCTGCATTCACACAACCTGTTTGACAAGTCTTTTTTTGTTTGTTTGTTCCATTTAATCTCACAAGGAGCTCAGAAATGACTAATTTCACCTTTAAAATGATCCGTGAGTATCTTCGTTTGACACATTCTAATAAGTCAAACATCTCCGCAGATGACAGACTCAAGCCTGGACTTTTTGCTGTTTGTTTTGAGTTTGTTTAGTGAATATTTTTCACGATTACTGCATTCCATCCTTCTCATTCCCACCGGACACACCTCTGATAGTGTGTTTCTTTGCATAATTAGATCTAGGGACGTGTTGAGCAACATTTTTCTTAGAATCAAAATCACCATTAAACTCACAGAAGAGCAGAGTTGAAATCGGCATCAGAAGATTACAAAATCAGGGGTATTATAGGGGTATTGCATATTAAATAAAAACATGTTAAAAAAACGTGAATAATTTGAAATGACACAAACTGGAGTAAAATAAAATATTATTTCAGATAGTTGGTAAGTCAACATTTCTCATTTTCATTAGTTTAACTTGCTGTAGCTACTAAAATATCTAAAACTGAAACAAAAATGAATAAAAACTATGTAGACATTTAAAAGTAATAAATTATAAAATGACTGAGCAGCAAATTGGAGCCAGAACGTGGAATTTTGCCCAGGTGTGGAAACACAATTCCATTGTAGAGCGTGAAATTAATTAATTTTATTTATTTATTTATTAGGGATGTCCCTATCAGGTTTTTTGTGCCCCCGATCCGATCCAAGTCATTGAACTTTGAGTATCTGCCGATACAGAGTCCCGATACGATACTTGTATGTTCCTATAGGAATGTATGCTTGGTGCACACTTCAGGTACATTAAAGTTATTCAAATTAATCCAATCTATACAGAGTTGTGCAGAGTAAAAGTACTATATAATATTATATCACAAGACACACTCTCTCTATGCACACACTATATTAAGACATTGGTAGATGTAAACATTACAATGGTAGACATTGTAAACGAACTGTGTGGTCACAATTATGAAATTATGAATATGGGACTGCTGATATAAAACTTGTATTTTTTTTATGTACAATAAGCAGAATAATTGCAACATATGGTCATCCTTGAGATCGGCTCGGGACATCCCTATTAATTAATTCATTCATTTATTTATTTAGCAATAGTTTGAACAGATTCGATAATTATACAATTCTACTGTCATGGTTATGGACTTTTTCTTGTGTTTTCTTCTGTTCCTGCCCTGTTTAGTTATTGTCTCTCTACTTTCTGATCTTGTCGTTAGTTTCCTCAGTTGCATTAGTTTCAGGTGTGTCCTATTAATTGACCCATTATATATAATCCCTGTTTTGTTCTGTTGTCTGCTGGTTATTTGCTTTACAATTGTGAAAGCTATGTTTGCGATTTTTCATGGATTTATTATTAAACGGCTATTTTTGGATAATACTCCCTCGATGTGCGCTTATTATAGCACTAAACATAATGTTGTTGTTATTATTATTATTATTATTATTACTAATAATTTGCAATTGTTGTATACGTTTGAACAGATTCTATTACCATCTGTAATTCTGTTACTGTTATTATTTCTGTTATTAATATCGTTGTTGTTGCTATTATTATTATTATTATGCAATTGTTTTATCAGTTTGAACAGATTCTATTATCTATAGTTCAATTATTATAATTTAATTATTATTATTATTGTTGCTGCTGTTGTTGGCTTTTTTTAATTATTATTATTGCTGTTGCTAATATGCTTTTTATCAGTTTCAATCAGATTCTATGATTATTTATTATTCTGTTTTTATGAATATTACTTTCATTATTATCGGTTCCATTATTTTTAGATTTATTTCTCATTTGTTTGATCAGTTTGAGCAGGACATCCTGGAAGCGTGTCTGTTCCTGCTGGAGAAGGGTCAGGTCGCTATGACCGAATGGAGAGATCCAGTGATCGTGTCCAGAATGGTCTCTGCTCTGGTGAGTCGCATTCACATGACATCGACATACGCTCATAAGAAATCATGAATATGACACTGATTTGAGAAGGTGAATTACAGTCGACAGCATGTGGTAGTTTTAGGTTCAGAGGAATCTATCTTTTTCAAGACCGTACATGTTGAACAGCAGAGCCGGTGCTTGTTTGTTTACAGAAGCACATGCTTTCTCTTTCATCGAAACACATTCTCCTCGGTCTCATCTGGCACAGTTCCAAACATCATTAGTGTAGAGATATGTCCTTTAATTCTACACTTCTGAATTAATGGATATAGAACTGCAAGTCACATTTTTACCTTTGCAGTCTCACTTTTTTTTTAAGATTTGTTACGAATTTCTTACATAATCAATCTACAACATCAACACTGTGAAATAACAGCTGTTAAGTGATGAAAGTATAATAATGATATTATAAATATACACACACTGCTGTTTAAAAATGTATAGTCGGTAAGATGTTTTTAATGTTTTGAAGTCTTTTCTGCTCAACGAGGCTGCATTTATTTAAATAAAAATACATTAAAAACAGCTGTTTTCTGTGAGAATGTGTTAAAATGTAATGTATTTCTGTGATGCGCAGCTGTATTTTCAGCATTACTCCAGTCTTCAGTGTCACATGGTCTTCAGAAATCATTCTAATATGCTGATTTGCTGCTCAAGAAACATTTCTGATTATTATCAATGTTGAATACAGTTGTGCTGCTTAATATTTAGTAGAAACCGTGATGCGTTTAATATTTTTCAGGATTCACAGATTAAAAGAACAGTATTTATGCGAAATAGAAATCGTTTAGAAAATAGAAAATTTACTGTCACTTTTAAACCTTTTGATGTATCATTGCTAAATAAAAGTATTAATATATTTTTATAAAATTTATTGAACAAACGTTTGAACAATAGGGTAAATTGAATTAAAAAAAGGTCAATAAAGAACATTTTGAAGTACATTTTTAGAAGTTACTTTTACAGAAATCTGCTTGATCTTTTCATAAAAACATTTGTCAGTAAGTATAAAAATAACAGTAAAAGATAATTAGTTTTGATTTACTATTGTTATATATAAAAAAAAACTATGCATCATTAAATAATGTCCACAACAACAGTTCAGTCTTTATACAATATTTTTCGCATAATCATTTGGCTGAATCATTTCCTGCGTTCTCGCATCTTTCCTGACATTTTAAGAAGGAACAGAAAAGTAAGATGCATGATTCAAGAGATGAAATGTACCTTTTTGAAGAGCTTTTCTGTTCTTCTGTGACAGGTGAACTCCAATGATGACCGTGGTGTGCTGATGGGTAATTGGTCAGACAGCTTTGAAGGCGGGACGACTCCCACCGCCTGGAGCGGCAGCGGCGACATCCTGAGACAGTATTACAAAATCTTGGGGAAGCCTGTCAAATTTGGCCAGTGCTGGGTCTATGCGGGAGTCACCACATCCGGTACGTTTGGATATGTTATCACTGTCAGCAGCCAGAAAAATAACACTTTCACCATGTTATTAGGAGTAAAAATCACTGTGAATGATATATGAACAAACCCCTCTGTAAAAATCTTCAGAATATCGAGAGGAATAAAACTGCTAATTTTGGTATTTGTAAGTGCTGCTGAAATGGAGAGAACTTTTGAAGGTGTGTATTGTAATTGAAATCTACAGCCGCAAATTGATAAACTGATACAACATAAACACACAATCATGTGTTTAGATGTTTTCCTTCCACTAGTCTAAAGGAGAATTCCGTTTTTTTTTTTTTTTTTTTTTAAACAAGAAAACCTATGAAATTTGGCAGAAAGTTTGAAAGTAACAGTAAAAGATTAGAGAAAAAAATATCTGTTTTTAGGAATAAAATGCTACTTAAACCAGTGTGAATGATATATGAACAAACCCATCGCTAAAAACCTTCAGAATATAGAAAGGAATAAAACTGCTAAGTTTTGTGTTTGTAAGTGCTGCTGAAATGAGGAAAAATCTCTTGAAAGATATGCATTGCAATTGAAATCTACAGATGCAAATAGATAAAGTGCAATAAAATATACACTTAAAAGTATATTTTATGTTTTATTTTTACTAGACTTAAATGAAACATGTTATGGAAGCAAAATAGCCCAAAACATGAATTTTTTTTTTCTTTCCCCCCTGTAGTGTCTTTACGCTGTTGACCTTCAGGGCAACTCCAACACTGTGTTTGCAATTTTTGCACCACTTGCAGTTCAGTTTATATAGATCTTTTAGTAATGTTTTTTTCCATTTCTCTCTCAGTGTTGAGATGTCTTGGTATTCCCACCCGTTGTGTGACCAACTTCAGCTCTGCTCACGACACAGACCTTTCCTTGACCACAGACATTTATCTTGATGAGAAACTGGAGCTTATCAAAGATGAGACCAGCGATTCTGTCTGGTATGATAACAACCATCATCTCTTAAGTTCCTTTTACTGTCATTTAATGTCATTAGTGTCAGGTTCATGTTATACTCGGCCTCTCTAATCAGTCAAATTTATGCTTGGAGAATTTTAAATAAAATTTTCATTAGTGACAGTTCTCAAATACAGCAATCGTTACTGACACTTTACATTAATATGGCGCCAGGGTTATTATAGTTAACTAAAACTAAAACCACTTGAAATAAAACAAACGTTAAAGAAATAACAAACTTATTTTATTTCAGTTAGTTGCCAGGGCAACATTTCTAATTTTCCTTTAGTTTAACTTTAAGTACCAAAATAACTAGATAAATAATGAACAATACAAATATTTTTTTTTAAAATAAAACAAATGTATAGACCTGTTTAAAAAAAACTAATACAACATGACAAAACACAAAGTAACTACTTTAAATAAACGGAAAATGAAAATGGGGAAAAAAATTCCAAATGTTTACAAAAACTATAATATATTAATGACGTTAAAATAAAATTGTATATAACACTTTAGTGCCCCTTTATTGTTTTCAAAGTATTAGAGGTAGAACTGTTTTGGGGGAAACCAATAAATATGTTTAATAAACTAATGTTTAACAAAAACTTAACCTAGCATGAAAAATAACTAGTTTTGGATAGCTTTATTTCTTGGAATTTCATGGAATATAGAATGTATCAGTTTTTTAATTTAATATTTAATGTTAATATATTTTGTGCATTTGATTTTTATGTTTATTTAATTGTGTGTTTTAAAAATATATATTTTAACAACACAAAATCACACAAATCAGTGTTGAAGAAAAAATGCTCAAAGTATTTAGTTTGAGGTTGATGGTCATGATTTTCTGAAGGTAAAGGGCCTCGTTTCACTGTCTATTTCTTAAAAAGAGTTTCAATCCCTGTTTTAGTCGATGCCTGTTCAAGTGTATTTTTGTAAATTGGCGACTAACAATAAACTCATGTTGGCGGTGTTTCTCTGTAGGAACTTCCACGTGTGGAACGAGTCCTGGATGACCCGGCAGGACCTCCCGGCGGGTAACGGTGGGTGGCAGGTGGTGGACGCGACCCCTCAAGAGCTTAGCCAGGGTTCATACCGCTGCGGTCCCACCCCCGTCTCCGCCGTCCGCAACGGACAAGTCGACCTGAAATTCGACACTCCTTTTGTCTTTGCCGAAGTGAGCGCTTCATACAAACCTCTTTTCACCCTCATTTGTGTCTGATGACATTTCATACTTTGCACTTTTAATTTGAAGTCAAAACATCTACTGAATGGCTGAATTGGTTTCACTGTCCGTCTCAGGTGAACAGTGATAGAATCTACTGGCAGAAGAAACCTGATGGGAGTTTGAGTCAGGTTCATGTGGAGAAGAACTCCATCGGTCAGCACATCAGTACTAAAGCTGTGGGATCTGATGCACGCGTGGACATCACACACCTCTACAAATATCCAGAAGGTAACAAAACAAATACATCTGGCCCAAAACCTAGAGCTGCCTTCCTAGAAAGCATTTTAAGGCATTATAGACATGCTCCCAATGGATATTGTTCCTTATTTTCATGCAAATTCTGAATGATATCTGCCGATATTTATATCGATAGTTTGATTTCTCTTGAGGAAAAAAAATCTCTCCCACCTAATGCTGTAAAATATACTGTGAACCGTCTCATTTGGTACATTGCTATAATATTAGACATTAAAATGAATCCCAACTATTACATTCAACTGCTTATTAATTTTCAGATATAATTATTACTCTCAAATACAACTGACATTTCTGAAAGGTCACTTGCCCATATGGTAGTTTCATAAACACGTAATTGTCTTCATGACAAATTTATTCAAACATACACATAATTAACAGTAAATATGGTCATCTCTAGTGTTTTATAGCTAACTGTGAACACTGAGTATTTTTCCTGAGATAAATTGAGTGACATTCTGTATTGTATTGTATCTTTCAACCTTCCAATGTTCATTCATGTTTATTAAGCGCTATAAGTTGTAAAGTGGAAGATACTCGCGCTCCATGCTGCCGTTGAAACTGAAGCTGCCACAGTGATGTGTTACACCACATTTAAGAGCGGCTGGCATGTATTGTTTGAATTTTGTGATAAAATGGACAGAATTTGAAAGCTGAGCACAACACACAACATTTCTTGAGCACAAGAAATCAGTTAAGATTCACGATAAGTGCTCCGAAGTCCCGATCTGAATAATGATTCGTTAGCCAACATTTCAGTATGGGACTTCAGAGCACGTATCACGAATCTTCAATTTGTAAAATTATTTGCGAACCCACTCTTAAGTTCCAATGTAAAGCAAATGATTCTCGAACCCGCTTCGTTTCGACGCAAATCAAATGATTTGCTATACACGATCCTAAGTCCAAGTCTGAATCAAATTATTCGTCATAAGTGCTCCGAAGTCCCGATCAAAATGATTTGTGATCCATGTTGTCTCGATCTGACTCAAAAGATTCATGAACCCACTCCAAAGTTCCGATCTAAAGGATTTAAATGATTCGAGCTTTAAATGATTTGCGATATGCGATCCGATTGGAGCGCTTCGAAACGGAATAATTTTGCAATGAAATGATTTAACTGATTCAGAGTTTCGAAATGTTCCGATCACTACGTGCTTTTCATTGCAAGCAATGTCAAAATTTGAAAATGAATAGCTCTTTTAAACTGTTTTTGATAGTAAATAGCTTGAAATCAATTACCAAAGTCACGAGTTAGGGTTTGAATCAATTGGAGCGGTTCCTGCATAAATTACTCATTCAATTGAATTGGTTTGTCTGTTCTTCCGCCTTTTGCACTTGCAGCCATGTTTACTCGACACTGTCTGTAGTACTACTGGCTTAGCTCACTAGTTTTGAGATTAATTGAAATAAGCTAAAAAAGTATACAGTGTCTACTAATAAAATATGATCAATATCTCCATTCCGAAGATAAACCCGAAATATCCAACACAAATCTACAAACATATTTAGGCGAGGTAACCGGTTTACTAGTGAAACTCCATTAATATGACAAGCTGCAGCTCAAAATACATGTTAGATGGGAACATTGTGCATTACGATCGACTTTGTAGCTTAATTCACTATTGCTTTAAATAGTTTGATCACTGCAATTCAGTTGATAACGCTCAAGTTGAAAGAACCCATTGAAGTGAATGTTAAATTTATTATATTGTAATAAATATTTGAGAAATTATTGTTGTATATGATTGTATTAGTCTAGAGTGATAGTCAATGTAAAAAGAGCAAATAGGAGAAGCAGATGAACACAAAACAGCTAGGGTGAAGGTTTGATTTTGACATTGACACAATAAAATATAGCAACTCGCACTCCTCTTTACTGTCTGTTCATGTCCATCAGGTTCAGAGGAGGAGCGCATAGCTGTGGAAACGGCCAGTCGTTTCGGCTCCAAGCCAACTTTGTATCCGTCGCCCACCGTCAATGACGTGAGTATTGAGATCGTCATGGATGGGGCAGGACCTCGCATCGGTGAAGACGCCAAACTCTCCATCGTCCTGAAGAACACAAGCTCAAAGCAGCGCACGGCCAGTCTGCTGTATGAGGTGATGGTCATGTACTACACTGGAGTGCTGAAAGACACCGTGAAGAAGGACCGGATTCCTATTGACCTAAAACCGCAAGAGAGTGAGTGGAGTCTGACAGTCCCATCACAATGTTTGAATCAGTAGCTGCTTTTGTCAAAAATCACTTAATGATGAGACATGCTTGCAGTTGATATTCCGATTTAATCAACAAATTGTGCCTTACCCCTAAAAGGTGCATATTAGTACCTTAGAGTCATAACATGTACTCTTAAGGTACTACAATGAACGTTTTAGGTGCAAACAAGATATAAAGTTGTCCCTTTCAGGGTACTTCTCCAGTGACAAATGAACAGTGTTCATGAACAGGATCTTGAACTATCTGACTGACCTGATATGTATTTACTAATTAAAATCATATGTGAGTGTGGGGGCGATGGAACATTCATTGCAGACTTAAAAAAATAAATCGGTGAAAACATTGTGTTTCTTACACGTATTGAAAAAATTTAACATAACCTATAGGTCACTCTTATGGGCAGTCAATAAGCAACGAGACCTGTAGTTGAGTTCTGTGCAAAATGAAAAAATAGTTCTCATTATAATTGTTTTATCATTGTCATTAATGTCATGCTCCTTTGTCTCCCTTCAGCCAAGACTATTCCTTGGACTCTGCAGTTTAACGAGTACATGAACCATCTGGTGGACCAGGGCGCTCTGATGCTCACGGTCACCGGTCGGGTCAATCAGACCAAACAGATTCTGGCTACACAGTTGAACTTCAGACTGCGCACACCAGACCTCATCCTCACAGTACGTCAATGAGACACTAGTCTTGATTTGTGATTATCATAACTAGTGCTGTCAAAATTAGCATATTAACGCAGGTGATTTGCCTGTATCATTTCATATTAAAGCGTGATTAAAACTATGAGCATGCGTGTCAAATCTGCATCACGTTCAGCAGCGGCAGCTCTTAAAGTAATAGCAGCCATATAACCTAATAACCCAGCTGCTGTGATGTCTGTTAATCAGAAAAAATAGTTCTCATTATAATTGTTTTATCATTGTCATTAATGTCATGCTCCTTTGTCTCCCTTCAGCCAAGACTATTCCTTGGACTCTGCAGTTTAACGAGTACATGAACCATCTGGTGGACCAGGGCGCTCTGATGCTCACGGTCACCGGTCGGGTCAATCAGACCAAACAGATTCTGGCTACACAGTTGAACTTCAGACTGCGCACACCAGACCTCATCCTCACAGTACGGCAATGAGACACTAGTCTTGATTTGTGATTATCATAACTAGTGCTGTCAAAATTAGCATATTAACGCAGGCGATTTGCCTGTATCATTTCATATTAAAGCGTGATTAAAACTATGAGCATGCGTGTCAAATCTGCGTCACGTTCAGCAGCGGCAAGTTAATTTTTTTTTTAATTCACAAGCAATATTGTCTTTATTCAGATGCTGTTATATAAAGAAAAATCAAGAATCACACAATTGTACATGTAATTCCATGTTAAAAGCTGGAGATGGGAAAGAAAATGTCTTCAGTAATTTCTTTACAAAGTAACATGCACAATTATCTGGAAATGTAGCATTTTATGGTGACTTTCATGAAGTCGTATTAAAATTCATATACATTTCATCCTAGATTTTTTTTTAAAGTTGAAAATGTGAGGACTTCCAGGTAGCACTATAAGGCGACCAGTAGAGACCAATAGGCACCATTATGGTTTCCATTAAAACCAGTACAATTCCCATTATAACCAGTAAATCCATTACAAATTCTGTGATCATGTCTATTGTTTTTTTTTTTTTTTTGCAGCAGGGCGGGCTAAATGTTCACGTTATCTCACGCAGAATATGGTTATTTTCTGTTAGTCACTGTATGAGTGTACGTCTGTAAACATCTGATGAGAAGCATCCAACAGACATATTGTAGATGAGCAAACACTCTACAAAATGCGTCTTGCAGATGTCAAATAGACTTCTCCATGATGTACGTGTGCTATCAGGATTGATTTATCGAGCTGAGATCTATTGATTTTGTTCCATTTTTGTGTCTGAACAATATAATTGCGCAAATCCTAAAATTTAGTTTTAGTTTAAATTATTGAATTTATGAAATTCAATGCGTCTCGGCAGCACAGAAGTAGACCCACCGGTAAAATCACTAAAGTAAGAAAGAGGTCACAGGAGTATAAAACATGTTTGAACTTTTCCATGACATTCTGATTTATTGAGATGCACCTGTATGTCAAATATACACTTAGAATATAGTGCGTACTCTTTCTTCGCTCTACGGTGTGGGGTTCACTGTGGATACTGGAGGAGCAGAAAACACGATGCCTCCAGAGATTAAGGGTGTTTCTGCTCCATACTAACAGTAGGTGGTGGTAATGCCCTATTTTGTAGATTAAGATCAGCTGTAAACAAAACGAAGCAGGCAGCAGCAGCTCACTTGTCTGCACTGCATATTTCAGTGCTACTGGAGTTACAAGAGTAACACATACTCCGGGATATTGGTTTATTTCGAGTCGTAGGGACTATAAGAAATGTTTGAAAGTGAGAAACTTTAGAAAATTGTGGATCAGTGCTGATTCGAGATGCGAACTGTCACTAAAAAGAACCGGTTCAAAAGAACGATTCCTTCGCGAACCGGACATCACTACATTTGAAAGGAGTTCACACACAGTGCTCACAATTCAGAAGAAACCAACTGTCTTAAATGAAATAATATATGTCTGTCCATGCTAAAAGAAAAATCTAAAATAATGCCACAGAGGATGATAGTTCAAAATTACATGGACCTTTATCAAGACAAACTATTCATATAAATTTACAGATGGATCAAAGCAGCCAGAGACAGGCCGTACTGGGGCTGCTTTCTCCATTTCGCATTATGAAATAGCAGTTAAAAAAAGAACAGCAGATCATTTATCGGTGTACACAGTAGAGCTTTTAGCAATTTTATTGTCATTACAGTGGCTGGAAGGAAATAAACAGAACCAAAATGTAATCATAGCTTCTGACAGCTTATCTGCTCTATCTAGTATTCAATCTGGAAAACATCATGTAGACTTCAACTATTATATATATATATATATATTCAACTTACTTTTAATACTGTATGATAAAGGGCTGGATGTTTCCTTCCGTTGGGTTCCTGCTCATGTAGGGGTGGAAGGAAAGGAGATTGTAGATATTCTGGCAAGAGGAGCAATAAAGCATGAAACAGTTGATATACAAAAACCATTATTAAGGGACATACAAGCAAAATATGGCAAGAATACTGGGACAAAACTGATACTGGACGACATCTGTATAACATACAAAAACAAGTAGGCTTAAATAGTATTAGGCAGAGCAGGAATCCAAGGGAAGGAAAGATAATTACACGTCTTAGAATAGGTCATGCTGGTTTGAGTTTTACATTACAGAGAATAGGAAAACACCCCACTGGTTTTTGCAACCACTGCAACACACAAGAGACCGTAAAGCATATTTTATTAGATTGTAAAAGGTATGAAGAAGAAAGAAGGGAGTTAGAAACACAAGTTGGAAAACAAAACATGACAGTGGGAAATCTGCTAGGAAAAACAATGTCTAAGGAAATACATAGTCTCCTAATGAATTATTTGAAAAATACTGGGATAAGTGAAAGAATTTAATGGAGATATATAGGGGGGAAGGAGAAGGTATATATATGTATGTGTGTGCCAACCACCAATAAAATTTAAAGAAGAAGAAGTCTGTCCATGCTGGATATTGATTGCTTCATCACAGAAATCTGTCAGCTGAGAGGTTTGTACAAGATAAAGATTCTCATATTCTTTTACCTGAATGACTGTGTGCATTTGTCTTTGCGGTTTTTCTTTTCTTTCTGCTGACTTCAAGTGAACTTCTCAAATTGATTAATTGATTGGATTGCAACATCTTCCTCAGTTTTCAACTGGTTTTACTTCAGGATATGATTTTATATCCAGTGAACCAAAACAGTACCGAACTTGTTTAATTAATGAAAATCAACATGCATATCTGTAAAATCAAGCATTGGCACATGCGCAGTCTTGTAATAATTTTAACTCAGTTGTAAGGGAATTAATTATTATTATTGATTCAGGTTTTGATAGGACTCGGATTTGAAGAGCCTAATTCAACCTGATTTGAATTGCTTCTAAATTTGATAGTTTACACTCTTATCAGCTACTCGGCCAGCGAGAAGTTGATGTCAGTGTATATTACTAATTGAATATGTAAATTTTGTATTCTCCCTGGCCACGGGTGAAATACAATTATGATAATTTGTCAGCTCTTAAGAGAGGTAATTACTATGAGTAAGCTACGAGCTAGGCAGCAAGCAAGGATCTTTTGGCAATAGAGTTGACACTGAAATTATATGACACCAGACAATTGAGTATTTATAAATGAAACATGAAATTTATTGGCTATTCTAGATTACATAAACTTAAGCTAAAACACACAAACATACAGTTTCAGAGGAAGGAAAGTCTGTTAACGGAGTTCTGAGTTTCATAGTTCTCATTCGTTCAAGATTAAACTTCACATATTACACATTTTAATATCCTTATCTCCTAAAAAGGGGTAATTAAACACTGGTTAAAGTTGCACCGATTACATGAAACACGTCAAGCATATATATACAACATACAACCTACTATTTGTGATTCTATGCTCTGATAATTTTATACTTTCAATGATTAGCAACGATTGCCAGAAGAAATCTTGTCTCTTTCCTTTGGAATGCGGAGGAAAAGGGAAGGGTCCTTTGTTTGATGTGTGTCTCCATCATGTAGGTGGGTCTGTTGTGAGACATAGATCCTACAGTCTGAATCAATATAATCTGATTGAGAATTCTGACTGCAGTGTTTATATAGATGTACATTAAACCTGATTTAGTGTCAGTATTACCAGAACAAGAAGAAGCTTCTAGGGCACCATGGTCCGTATTGTCCTTTTGACATCTAAAAATAGTTTCTTTATTTTCATACATCCAGTCTGCCAACAGTTATTTATTCTTTAAAATGGTCTCCTTCAGAGAAACAGTTGTTATATAAAGTGAAAGTCCCTGTGATTCTGTGTTTCTCAGGAGCTGGAAAAGGTTTGGTTGTGTGTGACTGATGGGATGGATTTAGTCTGGAGCGTCAGAGATCAACTCTCTGAACAGAGATCCAGAGACACACAGGACTCAGAGCTCAGCCTCACTTTACTCTGTTCCACTGACGCTCAGGAGAGTGTGTGTGACAGTCATGGATCCAGCCATCAAACCTCCACAGAGTCTCTGGGTCCTCACTGTAACGCTGGAGAACAGCAGATGCTGCAGATGCCACAGAAGATGTGCTCAGGCAAACTGCTGGACTGCAGGAAGATGATGAAGAGAGAAAACACAACTGAGGGACAACAGAGCGATGATGATGTTCTTATTCCATCAGGTAATTTGCTTCCTTTAATATTGTTTTTACCATTTCATGACATTTGTCTGCCATGTCAGTACTTGATACAAGGAAGGTGGTTTCAAATCATTCAAGAGTTGCTTTTAGCCTTTCCGCCCTGTTCGAATAACTTCCTGGGACTTGCCTATTGTCCTGGAAGGGTTTTCAGGGCATCCATTTGAGGCATTGGAGCCAACTTCGGATAAGCTTCGGACTCTCAAAACATTTTTATTGCTGGTCCTATGTTCCCTTAAAAGGATTGGCGATCTTTCGGCTCTCTCTGTCAGCCCTTGTATGGACTTTGCTGCTGGCCTGGTTAAGGTCTGATACCACCTAGGCCAGGTTATGTCCCTACAGTCTCTTTGACCCCTTTTCGCTTTCAGTAAGTGGTTTTGGAGGCCTTTTCTTCCTCCAGTACTGAGCCTGAGAGTGTTGTGTGACCTCATGAGCTTTGTCCAGTAAAGGCTTTTAAGGCTTACGTTGACTACATGACCCAGTGGCATAAGTCTAACCAGCTCTTTGTGTGTTTCAGCAGTCAAAACAGAGAGGCGTACCTTTCACTAAGCTGAGTATGTCACATTGGGTGACTGATGCTATTTTTAGAGCCTATGAGGTGCCTGGTTTGGCTTTGCCTCTAGGTGTTTGCGCCAATTCCACTAGAGCAGGGGTGGCCAACGTCGGTCCTGAGGAGCCACAGTCCTGCAGAGTTCAGCTCCAACCCTGAACCTACTAATCAAGGTCTTAAGTGTTACTGGAAAGCTACAGGCAGGTGAGTTTTTATCAAGGTTGGAGCAAAACTCTGCAGGACTGTGGCTCTCCAGGAACAACGTTAGCCACCCTTGATCAAGAGGAATGCATGCTGTATTCCTCGAAAGGCGGTGCAAAGCGTCATTTGCCAATTAATTGGCCTGATAGTGTTTTCCATAGCGTTGCAATGCAGCATCTCGTAACTGAGACATTTTCAAATCCATATATACTGTTGTTATATTTATTGAAAAATAAGCATATTTATTGAAGAAATAAACAATTCTTTTTGCTTAGTAGTTTGTCTCTTTCACATCCACTAGCAGTTGATTTGTGTATATAGTGAATATTTAAGCAAGGCGCGAAACGACTGTTTAGTGTACGAAACGACTGACTGCTAATTAAATCTCTCAACTTCTCTCTGTACACACCTTCTGACTGATTTCAGCATATTTCCTAATATCTCAAGCAACATCAGTTGAAGATACATTTAGCTCTGGCAGTTTTTAAATTCTTCAAGAGCACATAGAGGAAGAAGCGTCTAAAACAGATGTGCAGTTCCGTTGAATGAAAATTGCACCCTCTTTATGCTTGTAACCGGGTGTTCAGGAAAAAGAAACACACGGCAGATTAATTTGTTTGTATAGGGGTTTTATCTGACTGCTGTTTTTTACTTAAAATAATTTACAGCGGTCGGCAGGAACACCACTGAGCAAAAAATAAAATAATAATACGCAAGACAATAGGAAAAATAAGAAAATTACTAAATTCCAAATATTCTTCAAAAGTTACTCTATAATAATTACACAGTGTAATTACACTGAAAACTTACAGGAAGAAACAAATAATAACGCAATGTTTCACCAATTCCGGTGTAACAAAAAACAAGATCTTAGACAGTGATTAATAACAGAAAAACACTGGTTGAAAACCAGTACGACACACACACACTCCCAAATAAATTACTCTGGAGTGAGCACAACCAAAAAGTTATCTTACACACTTGACCAGGCCATATAGACGAAGTATGAAAGAATCCTTTCTTTGCTTCACCAAAATACTGAAACCTTATTCAAACACGGCAAAAAATAAGGTACTGACACAGTAAAGAATACGGTAGTGCTATGGTACAAAGAAGAGATAAAAGAAACACATTAATAAAGTCATCTCATCTTTTCTCTCACAATAACCACATTTTTCACATGAACATACATTGTTAAACATTAAAACAAGCGTTTTAACAGGATTGATAGCATTTGTACAGATCCAGATAGTAACACACGAATTGAACAAGAAATACTGAACTTACACTGGAAATTTCCACTATACCCGACACAAGGTTCACACGGATCACACACGAACCGATCTCATCTACCGAGAATTAAACATCAAAAGTTCACACAAACAGGTCTCTGGTTCCCACGGATATCAAAGAAAGGTTTCACAGTAATATTTACCCAGAAAAACAGCATAATTTCATAATAAATCGTCCCAATGCCAACACCACGACATGGCACTCGGCTGCTTCATCGGATTATATCAAAATGGCTATTCTGGTCACGCACATGCGAACAGGCAAGCAGAGATCGGCGATCTCTTAAAGGGGCCATACACAGTTTCAACACACATTGGAAACATGCTGTATTTATACCTCTGGCCACATGCTGTTAAACTATGTACTAAGCAGCATTGCTGTTGTTTAGAGACGGTTCTAGACATTTGGAGGTCCTAGGTCAATTTTATGTTGGAGTAGGTGTTAAAAATAAATTCACAAGTTTGCACTTACATATAATAAGATTTAGCAAATAGTAAGTATTTGGCGTGCTGTCTTGAAGGAGGGCTCTGAGCTTGGAATACAGCACGAACCCAGAGAACTCCCCCCATCCCTAGTATGGGATGAGAATAGTTTAAGAGTGAGGCATTGGGGTGGAGGAGGAATGCTGGAAAACTGTCACGGGACTTAGGTGAGTTGGCTGTGTGCATATATACTGTACATATCATGCTAATTAAGCTGATCAACTAGACGAGCTCCACCTGAGCTTGGCTGATTATCTGATCGTGCTCTTCCCGAACCTTGTTACTAAAAACATCATTAAATTAAAATTTTGTAAAAAAACCATTAATAAAAAATCATAATAAATAAATACAATTCATTTTTAAATTCACAAGTTTGCACTTACATATAATAAGATTTAGCAAATAGTAAGTATTTGGCGTGCTGTCTTGAAGGAGGGCTCTGAGCTTGGAATACAGCACGAACCCAGAGAACTCCCCCCATCCCTAGTATGGGATGAGAATAGTTTAAGAGTGAGGCATTGGGGTGGAGGAGGAATGCTGGAAAACTGTCACGGGACTTAGGTGAGTTGGCTGTGTGCATATATACTGTACATATCATGCTAATTAAGCTGATCAACTAGACGAGCTCCACCTGAGCTTGGCTGATTATCTGATCGTGCTCTTCCCGAACCTTGTTACTAAAAACATCATTAAATGAAAATTTTGTAAAAAAACAATTAATAAAAAATCATAATAAATAAATACAATTCATTGTATATTCATTAAAATTCATTGAAAAAAGTAGCCTAAGACTACAATGACAATATGCAAGAGTAAAACATGAGTTAACAATCAAATTGACTGTAAAAGTCTTCAACTTGTTAGACTGACTTAAAAAATAATTTGTTGCCAAGACTTTTTTTTTTGCTGAATGCTAGATGAATGCTTTGTTTGTGGCTCATTATTAATGAAAAAAAACCATTGTATTGCCAACAAATAGTTGCAGAAGAATACCTCCTGGACACCACTTCAGTAGGCTAAATGAACATCAGCTGGGTATGGATGGGACTCTCCCTCCCAATGAACCAATATAGATTATTGCCGTATAATACCTTAAAGAGCTAACATTTACTTAACACAATTCAACTAAACTTCTGGACAGTTCTACATTTGAAAAAAAAAAATTGGGGCTAGACTAAAATCTTTCGGGGCCCAAGCATTCCAGAGTTCAAGTTTGGTGATCTCTGTCCTGTGAATTTGTATCACTTGAAGACGTGTGACCAATAGAAGACTGTAGGGATGGGTATCATTAAGGTTTTAACTGTACTACTCTTACTACTTGTGTTACTCTGCTTATTGATTCGGTACTTTAACGCCAATTAGCATTGCCTTTTATTCTTAAATGTAAAATAAATCTATAGCAAAAGAAACAGTAATGTTTGAACAAGTCATTATAATACAAATTTAAAACATCTTTTTGTTTCTTATCACAAGACTTTTTAAATTATTCAGTAAAATCTGATTTGATAATGGATCGTAGACTACATCCGCCTTGTTACATTCAAAACATTTTTGTTTTATTTGGTGTACAGATTCATTTGTGTTTTTGTGCAATCCTTTAAAAAAAAAAAAGCACATGCATAGATAACTTTTACAGGTTTCATATTTGGGGGGAATTTATTTGTTCATTTTATTTGACAGGTGTGATTATCATTGGGCGTGAGTTTTTACCTCCATCATTAAGGCATGGGCTTAAATATGGATAGAGTTTCTCAGTGAAAGTCTGACCAGTGAAAGAGTAGATATGAGAGCTGGAACCCACGTCATAAAAAGAGACCAGACCCTCCTCATAATCCACAAACACTCCCACAATCTCAGGTGTCTTTCTCTGAGGGAAAGCAACCACTGGATCATCACAAACTAAATATTCATTCTCATTTATCATAGCCACTGTCCAGAATCCATTCTCTGGAGTCATTGTGTTTATCTCCTTCCTGTTAATGGATTCTTTGGCCACTCCTAAATCCCACTCAGTCTTTCCCTTCACCTGCACCTCATAGTAAAATCTGCCTGAACTGAATCCTTGCTTTGCTAGAACACAATAACAGACATCAAATCTTTTTGGGGAATTTCGGACGTCATGCTCAATATCTCCAAGGCTGACTTGTTTTCCATCATCAGACAGGATGAGATATGGATGCGCTGTAACAGGATCCAGAGTTACATCCACTAGATGAGAGATCAGACATTATCAATCAACTTCAGAACAAAGATGTTTGTACTATGTATATATATATATATATATATATATATATAATTACAGATTAATAAAGTATCGTAAGTGTATTCAAGAAAATTGGGTCATTAACACTGTACCTGCATATTTGCGTGCCCACCTCAACCCTGTGCAAAAAGATGACAATATAATATTAATTACAATATAACATAAATTATTCGGAGGAACAGTTCCAGGTTGAATGTTTATCTCTCAAATTAATGGTATGTAAATGTGGATCATCCATCAATTTGTAAAACAAAATGCACAGTGAGTTTACAGTAAACGTATTTATTTTTTCCCATAATATTTGTATTTTATTGTTATTTTTTTAACACTTTGAAATACAGCCTTTTACAATCATACACATTTTTCATACAACCATAAAATTGCTGCATTTACTCTAGAAAGATAAAACAAAATAAAAAACAAAAGGATAACACAACAACACTAAACAAGAATGTAATTTAAACTAAATATGATTTTCAGTTACAATAATTAATCCTAAAATTCGACATTAGTAGCTTACTTTTAGCAGCATCAGTCGCGCACATATATTAATTGTACATAACTAATCAGTACTGAGAACAGTCTTGCTTGGTGTGTCTTCAATTAAAAGTCATCTCATTCAGTTCTAACCAACTGTCTGCTGCGTTTCGCACCCATCCAATTAGTGCAATAGTGCAACTTCCGAACCCCTACATTTCAGAGACTAATGAATTTTCTGTGTGACAATCACCTGCACATAATCCTTAAATGGACAGATCCTGCACAGATCCTTAAAATGGATTGATCCCAGAATTTTCTTTAAAAAAAATACAGACCATAAATATCTATACACTGTATTTTTGATGTTCACATACCTGTTTGACAGAGTTGTTCATTTAATGTCTCGTGAGTTTTTTTCATTTGAGTCAGAGCTCTATGCAGAGGGAACACATTCACATCAGAGTCAATACTGATAGTAGTCCAGTTATTGGTGTGTTGATGACTGTACAGGGATGAGAACATCTACAGCAGGAGAGATGTCTATTAAATACATTACTCTTTTGTTCTATTCTGTATGATTTCTAAAGACTTCTAAAAATGGTCAAGTAGCTCATTAGGATTGGAAACAGTGTTTGTACTCTGTAATGTTTTTCATTCTCAGTGATGAGACAGATGTTGACAGACCTGTAGGAGGTGCAGATGATCGTCAGTGTGTGAGATCTGCTCCAGCTCAGTGTTTTTATTCTTCAGATCAGAGATTTCCTGCTGCAGCTCTTTAATGAGATCTTCAGCCTGTTTCTCTGCTGCTTTCTGCTGTTCCTCCATCATCTTCAGCAGCTCAGACTGACATCTCTCAATGGAGCGGATCAGATCAGTGAAGAGCTTAACACTGGCTGATTTCTCTTTATCTATATTCCTCTGATGAAAAAGATAAATGAGCAGATTCATTTATTATATATTCACATATATTTTTAAAGGATAGTTCAAGGAATATGTGAATTAAAAAAATAATAAAAATCAGCACTTTAATTGAGCAGAGTAAAATATTATGATGTATAATAGTATTAATTGTAATTATTTTCCACTCAGCCTTTTCATCTCTACTGAGTGCTGGATCTCATTAATCTTCTTCATTCTGTTCTGGATCATCTGCTGCACGTCTGTCTGTGTCTGAACCAACTGATTCTATATAACACAGAAAAACCCAGAAACATTTATCACTGAATTTACATTTCCATCTTCTGACAAAGTGTTTTGTTTGTATTTCTTGCCTTCTTCTCTTGACTCTCCTCCTCTATAGGAACAGTGTTGTGAGTCCTGTGGTCTCCTTCAGTGCAGGACAGACACACCCTCGTCTGATCATCTCTGTAGAACAGCTCCAGAGGGCTCTCGTGTTTCTGGAATATATAATCCTCCAGATTTTCCACGGCGTTGATCAGTGTGTGTTTCTTTAGACGTGGGACTCTGTGATGAGGCTCCAGGTGAGTCTCACAGTAAGAGCTTTGACACGTCAGGCAGGACTTCACGGCTTTCTGCTTTCTTCCATCACAGAAGTCACACAACACCTCAGATCTTTGTAGACTAAACTTCTCCTTAAAGTGCTGCACAACCTCTCTGAGTGTTGTATTAATCTTGAGATCAGGTCTTCTGCTGAACTTTTCTTTACAGAGTGGACAGAAGCAGGTCTGTGTGTTTGTCCAGCACTTGTTCAGGCAGGTTCTGCAGAAGTTGTGTCCACATGGAGCGGTGACTGGATCAGTGAACACATCCAGACAGATGGAGCACTGGAGCTCCTCATTTAGTGCACCACTGGAGGATGTCATGACTGAAAAGATACGTAATGACAATATATCATCTACATTTCTGGATAATTCCAAAAAGTGTACTATTTTTATGCACAGGCTAAAAGTTTCATTGGTTAGCATGGTCCACTTAGCCCCTGTTAGTTGATGCCGTAACTACACCATTGTATGCCCAAGAAACACAATTCAGTAATTCACAGGTAGCCATGTATACTGACAAAATATAGGCATTGCTCATGAGCAAAGATGACAGCTTGTGTATTTATGTGTCATGCACAAGTCAAGCAACTGCCATTGAGATGAAAGGGAATGCAATAGATAGCTTTTATCAGGTATTATAGACTTCCTTATTTGATAAATAAAAGTCTAAATGAGATTGTAAGGAGTACAAAGTACAATGTTTTTTTCCAGGAAGTTGTATTCTGTTTTGTGATGAGTAGGCACAAATTCCTTAAAATAATATTTAAATATAGTAACTAAGTACTCGTGCATCAGTTATTCCAAATCTCTAACTGCTAGGCTACGCCACCAGAGGCAGAACAGCATATCAAAAGGTTATTTACAGCGAACGCCTTAAAAAGTTGTCAAGAATATGTTTTTCAAATAAATACTGTAACCCAACAAATAAAGATCCTCTAAACATCAGATGTCATTTTCATTTTATAAAGCAGTTTTCACAGACTTTGGTTTTGTCTGTAGTTCAAGTAGCCTACTTCCTGTTTCTGAAGTCTCTAAAGTTCAACATTACAGTCCACGTCAAGCAAACTTTTAATAAATTTAAATACTGCTTCTGGTAATATTGCTTCATGATATTAAATGCTTAACTAATTCTTAAATTTTTTTCACTTACCTGTGAGTGTATATCATATGTGATCAATAGTTTGTGTTCAGATAAAAAGTTTGTTGAAGAAGCTTCCAGCACATCTGTTTTTTGTTTCACATTCACTGAATTCTTTCACTCACCTGCAGTAATGTCATACAGCAGCTCCGCCCATAATCATCCATATGGAACAGGTCCTTATTCATTCCTGGTGGTGAGTGTGCAAATAATGTAATACAATTTTAGAATATCTGTGTTGTTTTTAGGCTATTTTTTTTAACAAGAGAAGTGGCAAATATCATTAATCGGTATTCATTCTGGTTATCTGTTAATTTAAAGGTAGGGTAGGCGATTTTAGAAGGGCTAGCGATAGATTTGGTTGGCATTACTGGGAACGCTCACAAAAACGCCATATCCATTTATGCCGTGGAGGAAAACGAACTATTCGAATGACTTAGTGGGAGCATATACAGGCTAAACAAGAGCGGTGCAAGAATTGAGCCTTGTGGAACTCCACATGTCATGGATGTCCACTTAGACTTATGCTCACCTATACTCACATAATAACCTCTCCCTTCTAAGTATGACCTGAACCATTTGATTACCATCCCAGAAAGCCCGACCCAGTTTTCCAGTCTCTCTAGTAGTATGTTATGATCGACAGTATCAAACACAGCACTGAGATCTAGTAGTACCAGTACTGATATTTTGCCAGATTCAGAATTTAAGCGAATATCATTTATTATCTTAATGAGTGCTGTGATGCGGTCGGAAACCAGATTGAAAATTGTCCAGGTATCCATTTGAGTTTAAGTATTTGTTCAGCTGAATATATAGGGTATAATGGGGCTAAAGGCGCCCCGGGGTAAAAGGTGCCTTTGATATTATTTTCATCTAAACCACTAAATGGCACAAAAACATGGCATAGCACTTTCCAAAACATCAGTTTTTCAAGATGCACGTGTATATTTGTCTGATCTTTGACGCGATCGCGCGCAGCAGTGCAAAGTTGATTCTGTGCTTACTTGATCTAATATTTTATGTTTTTAAAAAGGTTGTAGATTTAAGTAGCAAATGAGAATCGCTAAAATTAATGCATATATTTTGAGACAAAGGTCTTCTTTATGATTTTCAGTTTTGTTTAAGATAATTAAAGCAACAGTTTTTAAATAACGAAAGAATATGTAAATGTATGGTATTTGGGGCAAAAAGCGCCCCTGCTGTTGGGGCTAAAGGCGCACAGTAATTAACATGATAATTAATAGATGGCTGACTTTTCCATTTGTTGACATGACATGGTTAGATTCAGATGGTAAATATCATATATTATGTTGGGTGTCCATATTATAGATAATCACCATGTTTAGAATGAAACCATCATATTTAAAAACATGATATTAATCATATCATATAATAAAATATAATTTTTTGTTACTACTGTAAATATATATTCAATTATTACTGGATCTCCTTCAATACTCTCAGAATCTTTACTTATTAAAACTATTTTGTTTCTGTATTTTAAAATATATTTTTTATATTAACACATTTTAATGACAGCATATTTATTGGAAAAATGTTTTATACTTTTATTTTTCAAAATATGCAGAAAATAGTACACACTTTGCTAAAGTGATTGTTTTGAACAAGTATTAACTTAGAAATTATTTTAAAAAAATCATACCATGGGCCTTTTACCCCATGCTGGTGAGCCTTTTATCACGTGTGTGGGGTAAATGGCCCCTCTTGCCACCTCATACATTTATACGATATTTAAACAAAATAAACAACTTGAATGATTTTTCACACAAAATCTGTTGCTCCATTAATGTTCAATACTACGTATATATTTTTTCTGCAATTATACATTTTAGGCGCAGTGAATGGCACATTTTTTTCTTAAGGTGGGCCTTTAGCCCCGTTGTACCCTATATATATATATAT